TCACCCCTGTCCCCTGTCTGTCCCCCAATCAGCCCTGTCCCCTGTCTGTTCCGTGTCTCCACTCAGCCCTGTCCTGTCTGTCCCTGTGTCCCCACTCGCCCCTGTCCCACGTCTGTCCCCATGTCCCCCACTCACCCCTGTCCCCTGTCCGTCCCCATGTCCCCACTCACCCCTGTCCCATGTCTGTCCCGTGTCCCCACTCACCCCTGTCCCCTGTCTGTCCCCCACTCAGCCCTGTCCCCTGTCTGTCCCCACTCACCCCGTCCCACGTCCCCAGGCGCACACTGGCTGACATCATCATGGAGAAGCTGACGGAGAAGCAGACGGAGGTGGAGTCGGCGCTGTCGGAGCTCTCGGGCTGCCCCATGCCCCAGCTGGACCCTCGAGTGCTGGAGGTGTACAAGGGTGTCAGGGAGGTGAGGCCACAGCACCTGAGCCCCAGGGTGAGGGAGGGGACAGCTCTCCTGGCTCTGTGGTCAGTGCCCACGCCTCACTCCTGGCCTGCGGCCGTGTCTTTTAAGGTGCTGTCCAAATACAGGAGTGGGAAGATCCCCAAGGCGTTTAAAATCATCCCTGCCTTGTCCAACTGGGAGCAGATCCTGTACATCACCGAGCCAGAGACGTGGACAGCTGCTGCCATGTACCAGGCCACCAGGTGAGGTCCTCCCTGGGAGATTCTGACATGGAATTTTTCTGCTCTTTCTTTCCCTGACTGGAATCAGACTTACAAAACACCAACCTGTCCCTGCTTCTTTCTCCACCCTTCCCTTCATGCTTTGCTGTCCCCAGGATATTTTCATCCAACCTGAAAGAGAGGATGGCCCAGAGATTCTACAACCTGGTGCTGCTGCCACGGATCCGGGACGACATCGCCGAGTACAAACGCCTCAACTTCCACCTGTACATGGCTCTGAAGAAGGCTCTGTTCAAACCTGCAGCCTGGTTCAAGGGTAGGGGCTCCCTGCAGGGCTGCTCAGCCCTCCCTCGGGGTCATGGCAGGGTCTGACCTGCCTGGGGTGTGATCTGGGGCTCGCTGGGGACCCTGTGGGGCTCATGGCAGGGCAGGAGGTGCTGTGACCCCTGTGACAGCTGCTGGAGGAGTGGTTATCTCCTGGGATCACATACATCCCAGGACAGGGTTCTGCCTGGGGATGAAGGCAGACAGGGCCTGACTCTTCCCCTCCCTAGGGATCCTCATCCCCCTGTGCGAGTCAGGCACCTGCACGCTGCGGGAAGCCATCATCATCGGCAGCATCCTCACCAAGTGCTCCATCCCCGTCCTGCACTCCAGGTGAGGCACTGGGGGCTGTGGGGGGCAGAGCTTCTCCTGCAGGGACACTGGGAGACGCCTGGGATGGATCCCTCAGCCTCTCCAGCCCCTCAGAAGTGTTGGAGGGTCACTGGAAATTGATTCAGGGCTCAGCTTTGTGTCCAGGTTCTTCATGCCCTGTGGCTCCAACCTGGCCTGCCCTCACCTTGCTGCTCCCTCTGTCCCTCTGCTCCCTCCTTGTTCCTGATGTCTCCAAACCCCCTGACCCCTCTGCTCCCTCTTTGTTCCTGATGTCTCCAAACCCCCTGACCCCTGTGCTCCCTCTTTGCTCCCGATGTCTCCAAACCCCCTGA